AATAAAATTCTAGATGGTCATGCATGTGAAACCTTGGATGGAAGCAGTTTCTGCAAGCTGGCTCTGCATCCCCCTTGAGAGGCCACCTCCTGCTGGAACCCTGTCTTTACCATGGGTGCCTAAAATAGGCACCATGGAGAGATCCTGGCTCTTCCAGGGATGATCCCTTCAGACCAAAGCAACCTGATGGCTATGACCACCACCCTCAACACTCTGTACCCTAAGTGGTCCCCAGGACAATGACCCTATGTCAGCAGAAAGTAGCTAAGACAAGATCAATGCCCCAGGTCCCTACAGTAGTAGAATCTGGATTAAAAGAGTGAGGGCTGAGGCCATCAGTTGGGCTAAGTGCCTGTGGACCCCTCAGGCTTTAGCAGAATGTCTTGTGCAGGATTTAAGCTGTCACAAGGTTTGCTCTGACACGTGCTCCCACCTCTCTTCACCATGACATCCTGTTGGGCCACATCTCCAAGCTAGTCACAAATTTTCCACCCTAAACTTGCAGCCCCCACCCCCAGCCACCAGCAGAGAGATGTACCAAAAGTAGAGCCTCTGGGACCCAGCCAGGATGATGGCATCAGAGGTGGGGGCTTTACCTGCTATGCCACAATGCCAGCCAGCCACATGAGGCATGATTTTAAACATCTTCACTACTCTACCCAATATCCTGCAATTATGCAAACACTGTTATAATACAGTACAGAATAGGACACCAGCTTGCTGAAATACATTAAAATTCTGAAACCATATAATTCATCTATAAATTCATGGTTGGAAATTTAAAATGATATTATTATATATGACAATTCCTTTTATCTAGTCTGCATCTTCCAATCATTAAACAATAAACAGAAAAGGTATCGGGATTTTTTGCCTACCTTTCTTCTATTTAGTTCATTCAGAAGATACCAAAAACAAGGCCATCTTGCAAGTGAGTTAACTGAAAAGATATGACATAACATATTTGATAATAATGGAAATATTAATTTGACCAGGAACTTTTCAAAAATTATTAAAATACAGTGAATTACATGAAATTAGGTACTGGAACAAGGTTGCTGCTGCCATTTACTATAGATGGAAAGACATTCTAGGAAGTTTTGTTCACTATAAGCAACTAAATTGTGATGAAAATGAATGTAAAAATTACTGATAATGATAGTAGTAGTAAGGTACATACTTAATATGGCTCACAAACTTCTACATTCTTTACTACTTTCATTCTTTGTATTCTTTTTTAAAAAATATTTATTTATTTATTTGAAAGACAGAGTTACAGAGAGGCAGAGGCGGCGGGGGGGGGGGGGGGAGGGGGGATCTTCCATCCACTGGTTCCAAATGGCCACAACAGCCAGAACTGAGCTGATCTGAAGCCAGGAGCCAGGAGCCAGGAGCTTCTTCCAGGTCTCCCACATGGGTTCAGGGGCCTAAGGACTTGAGCAATCTTCTGCAGCTTTCCCAGACCATAGCAGAGATCTGAATCAAAAGTGGAGCAGCCAGGACATGAGCCGGCACCCATATGGGATACTGGTACTGCAGATGGCAGCTTTTACTACTTTGCCACAGCACTGGCCCCAAATTCTTTGTATTCTCATAAGGACATGATTAGATACTACCGATTGCTAATGAAACTGAGAGAGAAGTAAGGCATTAACTTGCCTAAGATAACTTTGTTATTAAGTAGCAGACTTCTACAAAAAGTAATCAAATATAGAAACACGGTAATATACATATGAACACATTCTTCCGTTGCCTTTCTAAATTTATATTTTATTTAAGTAAACTAGATATATAGAAAATAATACAAATCTGGGGCCAGAGCTGTGGCACAGAGGGTTAATGCCCTGGCCTGAAGCTCTGGCATCCCATATGGACGCCAGTTCGAGACCTGGCTGCTCTGCTTCCAATCCAGCTTTCTGCTATGGCCTAGGAAAGAAGTAGGTGGCCCAAGTGCTTGGGCACCTGCACCCACGTGGGAGACCCAGAAGAAACTCCTGGCTCCTGGCTTGGATCGGTGCAGTCTGGCCATTGCGGCCATCTGGGGAGTGAACCATTGGATGGAAGACCTCTCTCTCTCTGACTCTCCTTTCTCTGTGTAACTCTGACTTTCAAATAAATAAATAAATCTTTTAAAAAAAGAAAATAATACAAATCATGAGTACTGCTATAAAAATTATGAAAAATTTCTTTTTTTTCTTTTTTTTTTTTTTTATTTTTGACAGGCAGAGTGGACAGTGAGAGAGAGAGAGACAGAGAGAAAGGTCTTCCTTTGCCGTTGGTTCACCCTCCAATGGCCGCCGCTGCAGCCGGCGCACCGCGCTGATCCGATGGCAGGAGCCAGGATCCAGGTGCTTTTCCTGGTCTCCCATGGGGTGCAGGGCTCAAGCACCTGGGCCATCCTCCACTGCACTCCCTGGCCATAGCAGAGAGCTGGCCTGGAAGAGGGGCAACCGGGACAGAATCCAGCTCCCCGACCGGGACTAGAACCCGGTGTGCCGGCGCCGCAAGGTGGAGGATTAGCCTATTGAGCCACGGCGCCGGCTCGAAAAATTTCTAAAAATTGATGAAATCCTCATATAAAACTAAAAGTTGAACACTACAATGATCCTGTGATTAACACATCCCTGTCTCTCAGAAGAAATCTCTGTCTGACATGATGGGCAAAGATTATTATATGATTTTGCATTTTGTTTAAATGAAATCACATTAAATGTATCTCCCTTGGATTTTGTGTTTTTGAGATTGATCAGGGTCGGCCAAAGTAATAGCTGTCTGCAAACGCGGGTCTGCTTCTGAGCTTTCTATGCTGATCTATTGATTTCTTATCTATTGTTGCATGAATACTATAAAATTTGTTTTATTATTGTTTGTTCAAATGTTAATGTTTCCATATTTCATGGTTGCTCTTGAATATTTGCATTCCAACAGAAATTTTAGGATTAAAATTTCAATTTACTCTGGCACATGTACACACATATACCCACAAATGCCTCTGCAGTTACTTTTTTGTGGGAACCCATGGAAAACATAAATAAATTTGAAGATGTAATATGTTTCTAGTATTGAATCTTCTAGTCATGAGTATAGTCTTTTCTTTGTTATTTCTGTCCTTGTAATTGTTTTCAACGATGCTTTTACTTCTCTGTATTGGAGTACTGTGTACATTTATTTCTGAGTACTTGTTTCACTCTCAGTTTAACTCACAATAAAAAATTATTTTCAACAGTTTTTCAATATATGTTAGTATAGTTGGAGTTTCGCTTGAACCAACATCCAATAAACCTTCTAATCATATTTAATTTTAGTAATTAACTGTAAATTTTAGAAACTGATTTAACTCATTTGAGAGACAGACAAAAAGACAGTCAGAGCAAGCTCTCATCATCCACTTGTGCACTGCACCAAATGCGCACAAAGACTTGGGCCAGACTGAAGCCTGAAACCAAGAATGCAATCTGCATCTCCCAGATGAGTGGCAGGAATCCAATCACTTGAGCCATTACTACAGCCTCCCAGAGGGTGCATTAGTAGGCAGCTGGAATCAGGAGTCAGAGCAGGGTACTGAGTTCAGATACTCTCATGTTGGATGCAGATGTCAACCATCAGGGCAATTATTTGTATCATGTTTTAAAAATTTTAAATGTTTGAAATATCATTTGTAAATAGTGAGACCCTTATTTTCCCCCAATCCTTATATACATTCATACTTTGGCTAATTGTAGCAACAAGAGACTGCAGCACAATAGTGAGAATGATGGTCCTGGGTTTCTGTAGTATACTTGATTTAGAAATCTGTGTTTCATCATCTAGTATGTTTCTACAGAGTTTTGTTTTTTTCGTTAATTGAATTAAAAGAGTTCCTATCTAGTGAACTAAGAGGAAGTTGGTGGTATTAGTGGGTTGCTATTGGTTTTTATTCATGTAAATATGTTGGATATTTCAAATAGCTTTTCTGAATCTACAGAGATGTTTCTTGGCATAAAATGAGTTTTTCCTTTGTATTGTTATTATTTTAACTTACATCAGTTGATTCTCCTGTGTTAACTCAATCTAGCAATCAAGAATTAAACTCAGTTTGGTGATGATTTATTATTTATTTTATGCATCAGTACATTGGTGTATTATTCTTTTGGTTAAGATATTTGTATCTATGTTCATGACGTTTTAGCTCAGTTTTCCCTTCATTTAATGCTTCACTAGGTTTTGATGTCAGGGTACTACAGTTTTAGAACAAGTTGCTCAATCCATTCCTATCACTTGAAAGGATTCATGGAAATATAATTATTATTTTGTTCTAAAATATTTGGCTATGTTAAGTAGCTTGATATAATCATTTCACATTGAATATGTGTGTTAAAAAATCACAGTGTGTGACATTGTGACATAAGCTGTTGACTGTGAAGCCAGCATCTTATCTGGGCAACGGTTCTAGTCTTGGCTGTTCCACTTCTGATCCAGATCCCTGTTAATATATCTGGGAAAGCAATGGAAGATGACCCAAGTATTTGGGCCCCTACCACCTATGTGGAGGACCCGGATGGAGTTTTAGGCTCCTACCTTTGATCTGGCATTTTACTTTTCAAATAAATAAATTAAATCTTTTAAAAGTCACATTATACTCATAATGTAGACAATTAGAATTTCTAAATTTCTTATAACTTTATTAATGTTTGTCACTGTTAATGAACCACACCCAGCATCCCCTATTTTTAATTTAAAATCCCTCTTACCAATCCCAGCCTCTTGTCCATTAAAAATAATTATAATTAAATAATAAAATAAAATACTTGGAAGAATCCACTGATGAAGCTCTTTGGGCCTATAGTTTATTTGGGAGAAAGTTTTTTAATTTTTAAATTCAGTTCATACAAAAGGCCAAGGATGACAGAAATTTTCTACGTACTTTCAGTTCATGTCCAAAGCTTCATTCCAATTCAGCATTCCAATACAGAATGCCCAGAGTTCATTGTTTTCCTTTTCTTTTTTAGAACTGCTTTGGAATCTTAAAATACCATGGCCACAGGAGAATAAAAGCAGAAACATAAATATAAAAGTGGAGCCAGCACTATTAACTAAAATACTTTCTCATTTTAATTGTTAATGCAGATTACTGGATAACTCACTTTAACCAATTTAAGAATAAAAAAATGAAAACATTCTTAATTTTAGATTAATTGTAATTACATGTTATTGTGTCTTTTTTTACTATTTTTATAAAGGTAGGTAGAGATATATAGATGTGTGAAAAGTAAAAATAGTTTCAAATTTGCTACAATGTATAAAATCTCTACTAGATCTAGTTACATTAATATATTGACAAATCTTTATTCAAGTGAGAGTGGTGAGAGTTTTGTCCTATTCATACTATTGTACATTGTTTTCAGGAGTTCAACTTAAATTAGTAATAATAATAATAAAAACTTTGTAGAACCTATACAATGTTCAAATAATATTTTTTTATATTTCAACAAAAGTTTACATTTTGAAAAAATTATAAAATTCAATACTTTGTTGTTACTATTCTATCAATGGATATAGATTGCAGTATATAAAATTAACCTCATATAAGATATGAAGTAAATATTTGCCATACAATACCCTTGGTATAATAGACAAATTTATCTGATACTGATTATTGAGCCATGGTCATAGAATTCTTTAAAATATTTTATCTTTAATTGTATAGTGTATATTAGTATTTGTCAATTTCTAGCACATAACTATAAGCTATTTTGCTATAAAATAATTTTGAATCAATGTTAATATTCAAATTCAATACGAATTTCTCATTCCATGCAACGTAAAATATAATATTACTTTTTAATTTTTTTTTTCTGGAAGCCCAGGCTAAACGCAAACAACCAAACACAACATAGAGAATCCAGGTCAAGACAAAATGACATTATAGATGACATAATGTGCCTAATTGTTTCTGGTATTAATAGACATCAGACCTGCAGAGAATTCAGAGATCACAGAAATGTAAGTTGCTCTCTGTTTAAATATCTGTAAAAAATACAAATCTTTGTAAATATTATAAAATATTAAAGAAGTTTTCTAACTGTTACTAGAACTGTGATACAATATATGATATTTTCTAGATCAACAGCAATATATATATTTATAGAAAATGTGTCTGTAACCCCATATTTATAGCAGCTCAATTCACAATAGCTAAGATATGGAGTCAACCCAAACATCCATCAGCTGCTGACTGGATAAAGAAATTATGGTAATATACATGAAGAAATACTACTTAGCCATAAAAAAGAATGAAATCCTGTCTTTAACAACAAAATGGATGCAACTGGAAACCATTAAACTTAGTGAAATAAACCACTCACAAAAGACAACTATCATGTTTTCTCTAATTTGTGGTAACTAATATAAAGAGTAATAAAAATGAGTATATGAGTGAAATTGACATTCTCAGATTTATTATTTATATTCCTCATCTATGGTCCTGAGCAACAGTGGCCTTTCTACTTACTACTTGTTGAATTCTTTATTTAGTCGAGGATTAAGCTTGTGATTATAAAGTAAATTGAAAGCATGTCACTGCAAAAATTAATGAATAAGGAAGGGAGTGAGGTAGGATGGTGAGAGGTTAAGAAGTATCATTATGTTTTTAAAACTGTATCTACGAAATATATGAAATCTGTTCCCTTTATAAGAATCAAAAACATTTAAAAATTCATTTCTTGTAGAATATTAATAGTTTAGTTGAAATGCTTTGCTCAGACAAATAATAACTCATTACCATTGACCAATCCAGAATTTAATAAAGAATAAGGTTATTAGTTGTTAATTTATATACGTTGAGATTTAGTTGTTAATTTGCTGACTTCCATCCATATGTTCACTGCTTTTTCCTGCAGTGGGTCTGACTGAGCCTTGCTTAGATGCCTGTGATACCGCTCCTTGTACAAGTCAACATACCAACCCTTTCTTTATGAACACATTGCCAACATACCTAAGGCTTCTGATGTTGCAACAATTATCAGTTCATCTGTGGCTGAGCCCAACACATCTAGAACATGTGTATTTTGCTCAGTTAAAGCAATATTAAAGAATGGCTGCCTCTGAATCAAAGTGGATAAACAAAAAGAAGATACTGCATTTGTTTTCCTCTTTCTTCTCTTGTACTCAAGATAAAAATAAGCTGAAACAGGAATCTCATGAGATGGGAATTATACTTTCTAGAAACAATAAGGTATCCAGAGATGAGAACAAATCTCTTAGAAAGGAAAACAAGTCTCTTTGGGGAGAAAACAAAGCCCTTCGAGGGGAAAACAAAGCCTTTCGAATGGACAATCAGTTAATCCGAGACAGGAATCACTTCCTGAGGGAGCAAAACCAAATACTCTGGAACTTTGAAAGTTTGATTTTAGAGAGCCAAAATGCATCTCGGGAAAAAATCAGTGCCTTGAACATAGAAAGGAGCTCTTACTGGCAACAGAATCGGGCACTAGGTGCTCAGATCAAGGCTCTCAGGGAACAGGAGAAAGCCTTTGAGAATGAGGCAAAAGCTCTGGAAGAAGAGATAAAATCACTCCATGAGGAGATCGAGGCCCTGCATCACCAGAAAAGAGCAATCAAAAGGGAGGAACTGGTCCTGATGAAGAAGGGTGCAGCGCTAGAGATGGAAGAACAGGCTCTGTGGAAGGAGGAACAGGCCCTTCGCGAGGAGAACAAGGCTCTTAGAGAGGAACACAGCGCTCTGGAAGAGGAGGAAAAAGCCCTACAAGAGGAGGCAAAAATCCTTGAGAAGTGGAATAAGATTCTTCTGGAGAAACACAATGGATAGACTTGCTAGAAGAAAGTGCACTGTGATACAGCAGAGCAGACCTGCAACTGCAGTATGTAAATAGAAAACCTGGCAATCATTGATATTCCAAAAAACAAGGTCCTACATGCTGAAGGTAAAATACTTCAGATGAAGTTAGCATCAAAATCCTGTAACTGTATAATGCTCAGTGTTTGTCCTGAAAACAAAATAAAATCCTGGAAGTTAAAAAAAAAAAAAAAAAAAAGAGGTAATTCTTTAGATGTTTTAATTGTCAGACTACTATTGGTAACTATTACTTTAGGATGCAAAAGATGTATCAATCTAAATGTGGCATTGAATATTGAATTTGGATTTGTTGTTTAATTTCAGATACATTGGATGAATACCAAAATTTGCTCTTATGAAAAATTCAACTCACACAGGAAATATTTGTCCTAGAACTTACTGTTGGGCACCAAAAAATATGTTGTGCCCAGATCGTTAGATCCTCGCAGAGACCCCCAGAGAGTCAATCAAACCGAACTGCAAAAGCAAGGTTTATTCGGGAGTACAAGCCGCGACAGGGACCCTATCCAACCAACCCGTGCAGCGGAGGAAGGAGTGAGGCCCCAGTCTTTGTTTGGGAGAGTTTTTAAAGGAAAAAAGGGCTACATCAGCAGGAAAAAAGAGTTACATACAGCAAGGAAGCTTTGGGTACAGGGAGTTACAGCAGGGGCTTGCAGCACGGAAGCTTTGGGCGCAGGGAGTTACTTTGCTTAGCAGTCTCTACTGTGCTGTCCTTGGTCTACCAAGCTAGCTGTTCCTGGTAAGCTTTGATATCTCTGGAATGCCTGAATGCTTGCTTTTACGAGGACCCGGGTCTGCTATAGGAAACGGAGGCTGCTTTTTTTATTGTTTTAAAATGCAGTCACTTTGGTTCTTCATTACTTTTCGAAATATGAACATATAATGAAATATAAAATTTGTATATTTAAAGTCTGTCTCTTCTGCCTGTATTTGTGCTTTCTCCCATGAGAAAAACTATGTGATAGTACAGTCATTACTAATGAGTGTTTATATCATTGTCTACCTTCTCTTTACTTTTATTTCATTTTGTGTCACCCTCCAGCTCATTGGGAGGTAGAATTTTAATAAGAATACTAAAATAGAGAAGAAGGAGTGAGAAAACAAAGATCTCTCAACTAGAATAGAAATTTGCAGATTTGGAATATGAATGTATGGAATATTTATGTTCAGTTGAATTTGAATATAAAATTGACTTCTCAGAAGGATTGATGTTGATAGTTGATCTTATTTACTGTCCTTTGAAGCAAATAATTCAGCAAAAGTAAAGTCATATGAACTCACATATCCATTAGAGCTATGTATGTATTGTCAGAATATTAGATGTGTTGCTGTTCACAGCAAAGACCTGTTGCTGTTGACATGACTTGCTATAGTTTTTATGAGAAATGACCCCACTTTAGTGTTTGGTGGTGAGATCAGAAGAGCAGTGCTTTGTATAGAGATAATTATCAATGACTCCTCTCAGTAGTGAACTGTCATTATTGCATCATAGTTAGAGCAAAAGTTTGGTTAAACTGAAGGTATAGAACATACTGATTGCGATTTTGTTCTCCCTTCTTTGAACTCAAATGTTAAGCTTCAGATCAGAACTACCGAGAAGAAATTTTGATTTTTACAGTATATTACATAAGTGGAAATTATACAATTAAGAAGCAAGTTAAAATAACACAGATATAAATAATTCATTATGCTGTTATTTCACCCTCACAGTTCAATCAAAACTTTTTTTTGAAGATTTATTTCATTTATTTGAAAGGCAGATTTACAGAGTTGACAGGTCCTTTCATAGATACATGTTTCAGAAACATTTTTTCCAATTTATGGTCTGATATCTCACATTCTAACAGTGATGTATGAAGAAGAGAGGGTTTGAATATAGTTTGGTATATCAATTATAAACCTAATAGCATATTAGATTCATGTAAACCATTTCATTAGCAAATGTGTTCTCATATTGGACCATATATTTTTGTTCAGGAAATACGGATGTATGGTAATAGCATTCAACCAGAGTCTAAACCTAATTTTTGCTTGGCTCTGTATAAACTGTGTGAACAAAATCAAGTAAATTCCATTTTTGAACTACAGTTTTATCAATATTAAGTTAAATATAATAACTATAATTTATGTTTTAAGATTTTTAAAATTTTTTATTTATTTAAAGGAATTATGGAAAGAGAGAAGAGAGGAGAGAGAGAAATCTCCCACTGGCTACTTCTCTCCCCAAATGGCTACAATAGCTGGGGCTTTCCAGGATAAAACCAGGATACAGGAAATTCACCTGGGTCTCCCAAGCAGATGGCAGGGTCCCAATACCTGGGCCATATTCTTCTGCTTTCCCATGTACATTAGCAGTGAGCTGGATCAGAAGTGGTGCAGCCACTGGAGTTTGCATTTAACATCACTTTTTGTTTCACTATGCTCTATTATTTTAAAATTCAACCTTTGAACCAGGCAGGTTGAGACTTCTACTTTATCTTGTAAATCATCAGCAATTTGTAAATATTTTAATGTTATTTAAAAATAAAATTATACAAGAAAGAATTAGCTAAGAAAGAAGAGAGATGTGCTGAATATCTTACTATTCCATCAGCTATCCACTAACCTTAATTATCTGGCTAATGTAGGTTTATATTTGCCTGCAGAAAATGCTAAAATTGATGCACATATTATCTCATATAGGAGCTATGAATGAAAGCATGTCTCTTTGTAGGAACAAGTATGCAATACGTGGTTATGCAGAAAATTTATCCCAGATCTATGCAAGAGATAATCTGCTATAGAGAGAATATTTTGCCATTTTTATGGGATGATAACCTTTCCAGTTCACTGTTGTCCCTATATTAAATACATGTTAGTTCTGGTCCATTCTCATATAAGTTATTTTTTATTATCAATACCTGACAATATTTGTATTGACAACAAATAGCTCTATCTACAGCTATATTCCTGGAAGAAACAGAGACAAGATAGCCATGGACTCTGAAGAACCTGAGATGAGACAGTCAGATCAAACAGACCCTGCTCATAGTCAGCTCGAGGTGACTTCTCGCCAACTCTGCATTCATAATCTTGTTGACAGCTTCAGCTTTGTTTACTCCAAATTAAGAATGCTTTTTCTTGAAAAGTGATTATTAAATATTTAGGGACCCATCTTGTATCAAATTTCTTGAGAATGCATAAATAAGGAATGAAATGTAGATGCTTTACTGTTCTATAAACCTTGAATATTACCCAATTAATTTCAGAGAGTCATATCATTAAATAAATATCTTTCAAGTAAATATCATTAATATTTTGAGCTATATGTTTTTCAAGGATCTACTTATTTGAAAAAGTTACAGAGAGAGAAAGAGACAGAGACAGAGAGAGATCTTCCATTCACTGTTTCATTCCCCAGATAACCACAATGGTCAGGATTGGGTCAGGCTGAAGCCAGAAGCCAGGAGCTTCATCTGAGTCCATGTGGGTGGCAGGAGCCCAACCACTTGAGCCATCTCCCTGATTTCCCCAGGCAATTAGCAAGGAGCTGGATTGGAAGTGGGACTTCCAGGACACAAACCAAAGCCCATATAGGATGCTGGAGTTGGAGGTAGTAGCTTTACCTGCTATGCTATAACACCAGCCCCTGAACTATAATTTTTAACCATAATTTATCTTATAAACAGAAGAAAATAAAATGATTTTATATTTGTTACTACTTATTACATCTATGTAATTATTTAAGAATAATATAAACATTTTATTGTGCCTTTGTAAAATTATAATTAGTATATGATTTTGCATATGGATAATGAAAGTATAAAAAGAACTGAACAATAACACAAATTCAAGAAGAAATTGAGAATAGATTACCAGTTATATTATGTTCAGGATACTATACCTTATGTTCAGAGACTATAATAGGCCAGACAACAGTCCTGAGAAAATGGCTCATTAGAGCTCTCCAAAGGGAAATCACTGTATAATTAGAGAAGCAAGGGAAATATTAGAGCTGTCTGAAATTATAGATTCTGTGCTGCAGGAATTGTGATAAACTAAATTAAATTCTGAGCGATAAACCAAAAATGCATTCAATTGGATTTACAAAGGAGAAAGTGTTCATCATTGCTTATTTTTCTAAATAAAAAATAATCATCATGATTCATATAATTTTGTTATCCATATTACTTCTAAAAAAAGTCTCTAAAGAGATAAGAGGTTTACTCAACAACATTAACGTGGAATATATGATATTATCGATAATTCTATTCCATTTAATTTTCACACTCTAACATCCCAGGATAGATCTTCCAGGCTATAAAATTACATCTCTTTAGATATATTCTGCACCTCCTAAAAATGCTTATTACCATTCTGTTTATAGACATTATCACTACTATTATTGTATACAGAAAAATGTGAATAGCAGTGATAAAATTTATTTGAACATTCCTGATTTAAGTTGATAAAATATATACAGCTGCAGCTGAAATTTGAATCACTGCAACACACAATGCCATAACAAACAAGATCCAAAGACTTCTGTAAACCTGTTCAATTACCATAGGGATTCATGTTCCCAAGCCTGATAGTCTGTGAAATCAGTTTTGTTACTAGTCCTATATGTACTCTAATTGCTCCTACTGTGAATCTGAGCTAAACCACAGGGCTTACTTTGACCAAGACAATGTGAGTAGTTGATTCAAGCAGAACCTCCAAATAAGCAGCTATCTCCACCTGCTCTCTATTACCTTATCATTTCCCGCAGAGCATCCTGGATTAGCTTGCTTTATGTGGGAAACATGTTGAAAAGATTCAGTTTCCACCAGTGAATCCAGCCTAGACCTGAACAATCCAGAGGAGTTAAACTTTAAATAACCAACCCACAGCCCTGTGAGCCAAACGAATGTTACTGATTTCAGACTTTAATGCTAGATTCATTACACATTATGATTGAGGAAATACTAACAGTAAACATATGATAACCCGAATTATTTGTCTTTTTTCCTATCATGATTTTATAATTTCTATTTGTTATAAGAGACTAGGATATTTAAACATTTTTCAAGGCATTTTCAGTTAAACAATGGAATGCTCTGTTTCATTTTATACATTCACCACATTA